TTTACTAGTTTTCTTTGAGTATTGAGTTATTTTCATGAGTTAACTGCCTTATTTTGTTTCTGTATTTTCATTTCATGTCCTTATTTCACTACTTCGTCGAGGTTAGGCTCGGCACTTACAGAGTATATGGGGTCGGTTGTACACATACTATACTCTATACTACTTGTGCAGATTTTGGAGTTAGTCCCAGCGGCGGTCAGTAGATTGCTCGGGTTGACTACTAGTACGGAGACTTGAGGTAAAGCTTCTCGGCATTTGTAGCCCTCATGCAACGGCCCGGTTGATTGTTTCCAGAATTGTAGACCTGTTCCCTCATTTTTTGCTCTTTTTGTATTTTACAACTGTTAAATGACTTACCGGGTTGGTTGGTTCGGGTCCGGAGTGATTTCAGAGTGAATTGAAACACTTAGTCTTATAATTGAAAGCTTAAGTTGAAATAGTTGGCTGGATGTCAACTTATGTGTAAACGACCTCGGATTTGAATTTGGATGGTTCCGTTAGGTTCATTGGGTGATTTTGGACTTAGGAACGTGTCTGGATTGTGATTTGGAGGTCCACAGTAGAATTAGGCTTGAAATGGCAAAAGTTAGAATTTCAGGAATTTTGACCGGGAGTGGACTTTTTGATATCGGGGTGGTTGAATTTCCGAAAGTTGGAGTAGGTTCGTGGTGTCATTTATGACTTGTATGCAAAATCCAAGGCCAATCGGACGTAATTTGATAGGTTTCAGCGTTGTTTGTAGAATTTGGAAATTTCAAAGTTCATTAGGCTTGAATCCGTGCGCAATTTGTGTTTTGATGTTGTTTGAGATGATTTGAGGATTCGACTAAGTTCGTATGATATTTTAAGACGTGTTGGTATGTTTGGTTGTGGTCCCGAGGCCTTGGGCTGATTTTGGCTGGCAAACGGATCCAAGTTAGATGTTGAAGGACTGCTGAAGTTTGGACTCCGCTGTTGTGATCGCACTTGCGAGGGGTGCAATACCGCAGGTGCGGCAGGTGGAGTGCAAAAGCGAAAGTGATGGGAGTTAGCAGGCTTCGCAGGTGATATGATTTTCCCGCACCTGCGATCTCGTAGATGCGGACCAGTGGTCGTAGGAGCGAAGGTAGTTGGGGTTTAGTGGTTTCCCTAGAAGCGGATTCTCCTCGCAGAAGCGAGCCCACATGAGCGGGATTTGGGCCATAGCTGCGGAAGACCTGGGCAAAACATATAAATACGAGGTCCCGAAATGTTTCACCATTTCTAACACTTTGAGCTCAAATTTTGGAGGTTTTTGAGAGGGTTTTTGAAGAGATTCTTAAGGTAAGCTCCTTGTGTTTTCTTCAATAATTATGTTTCTCCACTGATTTTTCACCTAGTTAGTGTATTTTTTAGGTAAAATTTGGGGGTTTGAGGCTAGGGATTTGGAGTTAATTTTGGGGATTTGAATGACCATTTGGTTTCGGATTTTAATAAAATTGGTATGATTAGACTCGTGAATGGGCTTTCGGATTTTATGACTTTTGTCAGATTTCGAGATGTGAGCCCGGGGGCTGGGTTTGAGCCGATTTTGGATTCTGCTTATTATTTCGTATTTTTCTTGTGAAATTGATTTCTTTAGCCCGTATTGATTGCATTGTACTGTTTATGGCTAGATTCGGAACATTTGGAGGTCGACTTGCAAGGATTCAGGTAAGTAACAGTTCTAAATCTTGTCCTGGGGGTATGAAACCCCGGATTTTGTGTTATGTGATTGTTTTGGAGGTAACGCATATGCTAGGTGACGGGCGAGTAGGCGTGCACCGTGGGAATTGTGACTTGGTCCATTCCGTGAAACGGAAAAGTTGAATAAACTTGTTGTTAGCTATATGCTCTTCATGTGTTATAGAAATTTGACTATGAATCATGTTAGAGACCATGTTTAGGCTATGTGTTGGTACTGTTGGGACCAACAAATGCCGTGTTACATGTTGAATTACCTGCTAAATGTTATTTATACTCTGTCTCAGTTTTTACTCGCATATCTTATCCCAGTCTCTATTATTCTTATTGATACATCATATTGTTGTTGTTTGGGCTGATTTTCTTGATTTCTGACAGCCCGAGAGACTTGAGAGGTTGATGACTGAGTGAGGTCGAGAGCCTGATTGTAAGGATATTTATGGGATTGGGTTGCATGCCGCAACATGTTTTATTGATTTATGCCATGATTGGCTTGATATAGCGCTTGGCTAAATGAGCCCCTCCGGAATATGTACATTGCGAGTGTCGAGTGCTGAGTGACCGTGAAGAATGAGTGACTATGAGACTGGAGTGAATGGGAGGACTGAGTTATTATTGCCATGAGAGGTTGTATATGATTTCATTGTTGTTGCACATAGTTGCCTTATATCACTATTTTGAAACCTTCTGAAAGATATTTTTATCCGGTTTTACTTGAACTTGGCACGAATAAACTGATTTGACTAAATTTGCTGGATTTGGGAAGCATGTCTATTTTCCTTGTTGAGACTACTGAAAATGAATTATAACTGTGTAGCTCGTCACTATCTTTCAATTCCTTATTTATTATAATTACTTACTGAGTTAGTTGTACTCACGCTACATCCTGAACTTCGTGTGCAGATCCAGGAGTTTCTGGATGCGGAGGGTGTTGATATTTCACATAGCTGACCGTTGGAGATATCGAGGTAGCTGCCTAGCGTTCGCAGTTCTTGTTTCTCCTTCCTTATCTTTTTCTACCATTGTACTTAGATTCAGACTTGGATAGACACTTTACCTCTAGACTAATGATGTATAAATGCGCATGGGCTCAGTGACACCCCTATATTGGAGCTATTTTCCGCACTTGTGTTTTGGGTTTTACCCTTGTTTATGAATACTTTGCTCATTTAAAATTTCTTGATTCATTTTCTGTTAAATATTGGAAGTATTTTGGAAATGTCAGCTTGCCTAGTACTATCGATCGACGCCATCACGACAGGTTAGGATTTGGATCGTGACACCTGAAGTCCCCTTCTACTTTATCTTAGCTGTGTATTTTCTTCCAGATGGCTTTACTTTCATTCAGACCTTTATTTGTATTATTCTAGTAGCTCGTGCACTTATGACACCAGATTCAAGGTTGTATTTAGATATTTTAGTTGTTATGTCTTTCTGCAGTTTACTTTAGATTTATTTCAATTATTTCGGTTTCTTTATTACTATTTAATCTGAAATATTAAAAATGGATAAACTAGTCTAACGTTGGCTTGCCTAGCAAGTGAAATATTAGGCGTCATCACGATCCCGAAGGTGGAATTTCCGAATCTTGACAGAAAATATGCATTAGAACTTATTGCAGAAGTGGGATTAACAACATCTAAACCAACAGCTACACCAATTGATATAAATGTGAAACTTATAACTAAACAGTATGATGAACATATTTGGAAGGATGACAAATTAGAAGCAAATCCTACTGTTGATCAAGCTGCCTATCAGAGATTAATAGGGAAACTTCTATACTTGACTGTAACCAGACCAGACATATCATTTGGACTTCAGACTCTAAGCCAATTCCTTCAGCAACCAAGAAATTTTCATATGGAAGCAGCCTTAAGAATTATAAAGTATGTTTAAAATAGCACAGGACAAGGTATTCTACTATATATCTAGTCATCACAGCAACACTCTCACTACATATTGTGATGCAGACTAAGCATCTTGCCCAGTTACTGGTTTTCTAATCAAGGTGGGCAACTCCTTAGTGTCCTGGAAATCCAAAAAACAAACTACTATTTCTAGAAGCTCAGTAGAGGCAGAATACATGAGCTTAGCTGCAACTATGGCAGAATTAACATGGTTACTAGGAATGCTGAAAGAGATTGATGTTGAAGTCAACTTGCCAGTTGACATATTTACTGATAGCAAAGCAGTTATTCAAATAGCTGCCAATCATGATACCACAAGAGAACTAAGCATATAGAAATAAATGGCCACTTTTGTAACAGAAAATCCAACAAGGACTGGTTAGCACAAAATATATTTCACAAATGATCAACTAGCAGACTTGCTAACAAAAGGATTAAGTAAGGTTCATCATATATACTTGAGTTCCATGTTAGGTGTGTTTGTCATTTTTACACCACCTAATTTGAGGGGAAGTGTTGGACTAATATGAGGACAAAAATGTCATTGTCTATAGGTTAGTTAAGTGGTTAAGTAAGTAGCTAGGAGTTAGTTAAGCCTGTACTCTATATGTGTATCCGGATACCTTCACAATAATCGATCAATGAAAATTCTTCTCTCCTATCTCTCACTTCTATCTTCTTCTTCCTCAAATTACATCATGGTATCAAAGCATTTAACTCAAAAGCTTTCGAGTCTATAATTTTCTTCCACAGCTCTATTTCTTCTCAATTTTGAGATTCTGTTCTCATTTTGTTTTCTTATGCAATTGGTATTCTGCGTTTGCAATTCATTCACACACCATTGTATGCTATATATCCTAGTGGTGGCAAAATGGATTAAAAAATAGTTATTAATCCATATTATCCACTAAAAATGAGTTAGATAAGGCTTTTTAAATACGGGTTAAATATAGATACGAACCATATTATCTACTTAGAAAATAGATAACCAATGGATAATTAATAATGCGTTTAACTTTTACACTTGTAAAGACTCAATTTGGAGGTTCCTCAAGTTTGGGAGACTAGTAATTCTCTAAAAAATGATCATATTCAAGAAGTCACAGATTAAATGGATATCTATGTTAGCCGCCGGTTAACCCATGTTTTATCCGTGTTAAAAAAGAACCGATCAAATAATTTATCCGTTTTTGAATTATCCATTTTCAATCCGTCCAAATACGACCCCACCCGACCGTTTCCCACTCTTATATCCTAGTAATGACACTGTTTAGTAACAAAAGTATGCATGGGCACAAATTATTAAAGGACTTTTTTGAATATCAGCAAAGAAGAGCTGGAGAAGATTCTACCTTAAATATGCCATGACATTCTAAGTGGCTATAAAACTTAAGCATGCCATTAAAGGAAATTCATCTCATGCATGACATTGAAGTGAACAACCACGGGAGACTGTTATATTACATCCAATTAAAAGTTCACAGGAAGTAAATGAAGTACACATTATTTTACATTACTTCCATCCCCATATCAGAATCCTACATCACCTGAAACCATAAGAGAACATATGCATCAGTCAATACGCAAGGAGACTTGCAAATATAATTTCTACATTTTAATTAGCAAAAGTTCAATGCATCCTGTTGTCAAACTGAAACTAATTAATAGAATGCTCTAGCATTCACAAAAGAAATTTTGAGACACGGATGTGTTGTTTTATACCACTAGGACTATTGAAAGAGGATATGACTCCATATATATCATTGCATTTTTGGATTTTCAGGACTACTTTACAAAAGTTAGTGAGTATAAACATGAATAAACTTGCAGGTCCCATATTACTTTTTAGTTAGAAAACGGGAGAAAAGAGTTTCTTCAAGGAAAAATAAAAGTATTTTGGCCGAAAAAATGAAGTAAACACTTATGAAAAGAATTAAGAAGGAAAAAGAGGAGTAGTCAATTACTTGAGCTTTCTTGTTGCATGGATTGGGGACATCACATAAACTCTCAATTACGATGAGAAGTTGATTGTCTAAATCCTGGGCGTAATTGTAGCAATTGCAGTTAACGCCAATCATTGCTCTGAATGTTGGGCAACATTGTTCACTGGAAGTTGTGTTTAACATGCAACTCTTTATCTTTTGTTTATCTTTTTCACAACAAGCATCCGGCATCAGCTGGTTGCTACGACTACTCAGCTTGTTGTCTATGGCCTTTATAGCTTCGTCCACCTCTTGCTGCATGTTGATTTCCTGCCAGATCGATCTTCGCATTAGATTTTGTTCAAAAAGACAAACTAACCTCGTTATGTAAAGAAGGGAGAAAACTAACTTGCATACGGGGACAAACAACATACTGCTTGAAGCCACAATATTCTTGCAGAGCAGTAAAAGCTCGTTTATTCACATGCTCGGCTCTCCACCAGCAAACGCAAAATTTGGTTGGGAAAAGACTGAAGGGGTATGACTTGCAACATTCGGTTATGCAGCTTCTATTTGGGTACACCATGCATTTGAAGATTTCATGGCAACCATCATTATTCTCGCTGGGTACAGATAGTGTCCATGGCCATGTGTTACTCTTGCTCACTTCTGCTAATTCCACTTGCTGCTCCTTTAATTTACATATCCATATATACAAAAAAATTTAGGACAAATTAAAATTATCCACATCCAAACATATTTTGATCAAATTACTGAATGCATGACATACGTATTTAATTTGTACATACATATTTCTTTCACATTTTTCGAAAAAATAAACAACAAAATACAAAACACATAGGAGGACTAACCAAAACCCCTATATATATATATATATGAGTTAGTTTTGGGAAAAATGAGGGGGGAAAAATCAATTCTTTTAACATTGGTAGACTAGGTCCATTACGCTAAATTCTTACAAAAATATATCTTTGAATCTAGTAAAGATTGTGTATGGGTCCAAATTTGACCGACCACGATCGACGATTGGCGGAGCCTCCTTGAATTGACGTCCCGAGGGAGACGACCCTAAGACAAACGAGAGACTGGACAACCCTTGCGATAATGTATGGCCATTAGGGAACATTGGGAATATTCTTCGAATATTCTTTGTATTTTGTCTTTTACAGTTTAGAAGAATTTCTCTCTTAGTATAAAAGGAGGATAATAACCTTGTAACCGGTATTCCAAACTCTGGAGACATTATTATTTATGAATGAAAAGAAACCTCGTGACTTATCTTTTCTTTATCTATCGCTCTTTCTAGAGATTATTATTCTCAACTAAGATTACCCCTTCATCTTATTTGTTCAAAAAAAATTTAATATCTTTTGAGTCAAACATATTGCTCTTTGATTTCATTGTTCTTCGTGGCCGATCGAATATTCCAGTTCTATATTCTTCCACTCGACGGTATATAATATATTCTCAGCTCCCAAGCAGAAGTGAGTGAAATTTTTGGACAGAGTTCATACAAAAGTCGATTAGTGCCCAAGTTAAAGGGCAAAGTTACTCAGTAAGTATGAAGGTAAAAGGTACCCGGTCAAATAGTCAAGCGCTTCAATCTATCACTTAACTGAACAAAGTTAATATGATTGGGTGAAAACAACAAGTGCAAAATAAGTATTTTCTGTTTATAAATAGAATTTTTAAAGTAATTCTGTAATTGAACTTTTAGAACAACGAGTCCCGTGACAACTTTCTTTCAGTTAACCAATAATAGAAGGAAATCATGTACCCAAAAAAAAAATTGACGCAAATTTCCCAAGCTTAATTTTTCTACCTTTTTTTAATAACAAGATAAATAGAACCCTGTTTTTATGGT